AATCTCAAAACAAGTCATTTTCAGGTTTCTCGGTCATTTTTGAAACCCATGTAAAATGGTCGCGTGAGCGTTTTTGCGTTTAGGTCTACGAGGCTTCATTCCTTGTGCTCTCTAGTATATATCCTGAAAGTTTTAGCTTTATCGGCTTTGTACTTATCGAAAAAACTTAGTTTCAAAAAGCGTTAAAAATGCGGTAAATGTCATCTTTCGGTCGATTTTTGGACCCCGCGGCAACGTTTAAATTCTTTTAAATAACATATTCGGAATCAGCGTCAAATTCTCTATCGAATGAGGTAGATCTTCGCCAATGCGCCACGACTTGATGTAATACAGAAAACTTTATACCATAAATAACTGACTGTCATCGCCACATTTCGGTTTCTACGGATTACGCATGTATCATACTTACCTTTGAATTTATCTACATTTTAGTGATAAAAAGGTTGAGAATAGGATATATTAGAGACTATAATTTCAAATGAATAACTATTTTGATTTATAAGATCAAGGATGATGGAATATTTTCATCCATTACTGTATTTAATATAGTTTATAAATAAAAATATAAGAAGGATTAAAATTTTATTATGCGTTATTAAATAATATAATAATAATATTCATCATCGGAGGTAAACTAGAACACAAAGGTTTTATTACTTCTGTTGTTCTTCCATTTTGAAATACTGTTTTATGTGTGTATGTATATTTCAAATGTTGTCACAGGTACAATTTAAAATTTTCAGAAGAAAGAACGAAAGACATGACACAGATTAACAACGGTCGAACGAACATAAAATAGTCTAAGTTTGGATTAAATCTTCTGTTTTGAACAAAGTTTATTTAGATCCTATAGTAGTCTTTAAATTCTCTTAATCTTCTATTATACATTGCTAGTAAAAAAAGAAGAAATAATTAATAATTTTTCGAACAATAAACATGTATAGATCTCGATCTTTCCCCCTCATCCTCAAAGCTTCAAAAAATAAAATTTGTCTATTGAGAATAAAAATCTCTTACAACGATACATACGATTATTATCTTCACAAACGAAATTTATCAAGGTTGACGAATATTTATCATTGCCAGAGATGTATTCGGAATAGAGAATAAACTTAATAAGACAGTATGTGTCCTTGAGAGATGGTAATCAGTCTTGAGATTTCCGAAAGAAGAAAGACATCAAAATTGTCAAGGTTTTTTCTATTCGATAATTTTCAAAATTATAATCCGATAAAAAATACATGTACGTCTTATTTTTCGATCTTGTTTCATAGTTAAGAAGATGACCCTTTCAATTTTTGAATATCACAAGCTTGATTTTTATTTTATTTTAATCAATCGGACATGTTCATTTTAAAAAAAAAGAGAAAACGATAAAGATCGGCTACCTAATTAAGATACGCCTCATTCTTTAGGTTGCAGTTGAATGAGTGATGAATTGTTTGACTACTCAACAACTACAAGGAGGACGAAAAAAAATTATCTAGTTAATTATAAATTATTTTGTCTCTCTCTCTTACTCATAAATTATCGTGTATAAAAAATGAGAATGTCAAAAAAAAACCCTATCATCAATACCGGCAACACTGGCAGAGCTATTGAAGAATAATTCTAAAAATACTGGATCTTAGTTGATATATTTTCCGAAAAACAGTATGTACTTACAGTTTATCATGATGATACTCCTATTGATCGTCCTTATCAAAGAATGAACTTACTCAAAATATTTTTCTAACAGTTTATTGCCACTTCTTTTCTTCTCTCGTTATTTCTTCTTTCTTTCTTTTTCTCTCTTGTTTTGTACAAAATGGAACAAAACTTTCTTCGCATAGGTAATTTGAGTGTGATGTGATGACACGACGTTGATTTAGATCAAATGTTGTTGAACAGAAGAAACTGAGAAAAAATGTTGAAATTTATTTAACAGACCCAAAATCGAAAATATTTATGCACTGGTCTCAAGCAAAAGAAAATTTAGAAATTATCCTTTTCCAAGAGCGTCTTTATAAAAATGCTGTAATATTGTCGACATTTCGTTTGAAATATAAGAGAAAATTTGAAATTGAAAAAGAGGCAAAAAGAAAACAAGTTAAAATCTGAATGATTATAAATTACTTGCGTGTGTATTTGTTTTCTTTGTTTGCTGCATACAATATATTCAGTTATTTTCATACTAGAGTATGAATGAAAGAACATAACTAGTGTCCTTGAATTCAAAATCGCTGCCCTTAAAGACAAAATTTCAAACATAAATAAAAACATGAAAATAATAATAATTATAAACTTAGTTTGAAATTTTGTTTAAAATAGTGAAAAGAATGGAACTGAATTTATAGTGAAAAATTCTATATTCAATTCCGGAAGTTTTTTCTACTTCTGCATTTGAACTATTATATCATTATCGAGACTTTTTAAAATAACTTTTCTGTGGAGGTATATAAAGTATATCGGTGCTTAACAAAAACGATTTTGTTAAAGAGCTAATATAAAGTTATGATAAAGCTTGATATAGAAAAATAGCTCTTGAAAAGCTCTACAATATTCTGATTAAGCAAACCCTATATATCATTGGCTCAATCCTTTACAGGTCAAATATGAGCCCAAGGACATCTAAAAGTCAACACAATTGATCTTTTAGCCATTTTACTCTCATACTCTCATAGACAAGAGAGGATCCAACTAGTCTTTAGTATAGAATAAGGGAGGAAAATAGCTCTGGAAAAGGTCTGCAATATCTGTTAATACTAAACTTAACGAAGCTTGGCAGCGCTTTTTGTAAATTAAATACTTCGCCACTTAATCTCACAGTGGGTGCAAAAATTGTTCGCCACCTTTAGTTTTTATTTTTCTCATCGACCATAGTAGCGAGAATAAATTTGAAAAAAGATTTAAACAGCTGAAAAGGATTTTCCCATCTCAGGTGGTGTATACGGAGGTTTCATCAAAACTTCTGAAATCAAGGTCTCTGGAAAACCAAAATTTCAGAAAAAGCCAAGTCCTCGAGCTCAATCTAGAAATTATTTGCAAATATGTCCATCGTGTAGGGCAAACATTTCCGTCGCACAATTTGCAATAATACATAATGTTAACTGAGCAAACTGTTTATGTATTTCTACGATGGCATATTTAGCATCTGATATTGAGCTATTGACTTACTCTGACATGTCAGAAATTGATGGGGTAATTGGATACGCCATGTAGTTTACACGGGAAATACTTCATTAGTAAAAAACAGTTTTCGCGTTAAGGCAATCATACTAATTAATGATTTTTGCACGGGTGAATACACCAATTATTGCTCTACAAATGGTGAGGATCTCCAAGCTCTACTCATTAATTAGCCTGAGCTCTAATTAAAAAGATAAACGCTGAGAAATTATCAAATGTTTCCAATAACCCCATTTGGGACAATTGGAAATGTATGTGAAAGTTAGTGGGGTAAATGGAAACGATCATGTAAAATAGCTGGAAAGCTAGGAGTTTCTTGGAAATCATTTTCTACTCGAAGAACACCTCTCACAAAAACATTTGCGCTTATGAAAAGATGCAGAATATTCTTCTCTACAATCCTAGAGAAACTCTCACTCGTTTTCATTCAGAACTAACGAAATAAGCATGTTACACGAAAAAGTTAGTAGCTTTTTTGTGTAACATGCTTATTTCGTTAGTATTTTCCGTGTAAAATACATGGCGTATCCAATTACCCCATCAATTTCTATTGCTGTTACCAAATGTTCCAAGTGGGGTAATTGGAAATGTTCGTTAGAGCTTTTAGCAAAACACCGAGAACACCAAAACACTTGGGACACGGGGTTTTTGAAAATTTTTAGATAGGCTTATAGAGAACTTCCTCTTCTACCTACCTGTAAAAAAATCTCAAAAAAATAATCAAAATTAACAAAGTTATACTAATTAGAAGTCCAAAGAGCATAAAATCGTTTCTAATTGCCCCAGTTTACTCTATCATATATTTTTTGATAATGTGATGAACATTGTTCAACTTTTATTAAATCACAATAATTCTTGGTACTTTTGGTGATGGTAAATGATACGTTTTGAAGTTCTGACGGTAAGGTTTGTAGAATAGGGATGGCTTTATGTGAAGTCATGTTTCTTTTTATTTGATGTTACTTTGATTTTGTATTTTATGTTGATATGCAGTTAGGTGGAATTTGACCACTTAAGGTTATTTCTAGAATTAATCAATCCATTTAGGGTTCCTTTACTAAACACTTTGATTCTTTTATCTTCAGGGGTTAGTGTTATATGGACACATTTTAGGATTTTGAGCAATAATTGTAATCCTTTGTTACGATATGTTTGAAAGAAAATGAATTTAGTGTAATTTAACATAGAAATTTGTTTGGAATTCATTGCTTTCATTTTAGTGCAAATTGATTTTTGTAACTAACTTGATTTAAATTAATCTAGAAAGGCATTAAAACATTTAATTAAAGTTTTAAATCAATGTGAACCTTTTGAATTAATTTAAAATAAATCGAAGATTATAATTAGAAAAATTAACTGCATCTTTATATAATTTAGAATGCATGTTGGAGAAGTTCAGCTCCTGATGTGATGGAGTAGTTTTTGCCTGCTACCAGTGTAGCATTTTCCATATTCTCTCTCTAACTATTTTACTTAGTATGCAAATCTTAGAACGTCCAGTACTTTTCTTTTTCTTATTTTTTGTTACGCCATTTTCTTACGCATGTGTCATAAACATTGGTTGCAAAGACCAGAAAATAAAAACGAAAAATAAAGAGTAAAGAATATCGGCATGAAAGATCAATAGACCATCTACATTATGTCCAGGTTCTATAGTTATGTACAAAAGTCATGTGCGCCTGTATCTTTCTTTTTATAAACTGGAAGGAAAAGAAAATTTCACTACATTATATGAATATCTCTTTTTCTTTTTCTACTAGTTGTTCGTTTTCTTACTTAAACCTACTGTGAAAGATTCTTCTACAGTCTTACATAAAAAGTAATACCTCATAATGGTTAAAACAACAGATGATGCACGTTCACGTTCAGTTACAAACGATAAATTATTAAGTGGTATTCATAAACCAATAACGCGATCATCTAGTCGACGACAAGGCGTGATTACCAGTGCCAGGATAGAAGCACGTTCGAGTTCAACAGATCAATTCAGTAAAAAAGCCTTATCAAGAAAACAATTATCAAACAAGCAGTCGCAAATAGCAAAAACAAACACATTTGTCGCAGCAACAGATTTAAGTGATCAGGATGAACCAGTGTCGAAAATGGATGATGGCAGTGATGTATTACTAGTGAAGAAATAAAAAAACGAAAAACAACTCCCATATTTGAATTCGCTTAAAGAGTTAATCCTAATGAAATTAAATGTTTATTATGTGACAAGGTAAGCAACGCACGTCTCGTATATAATTACACATATAGTAGGACCATGTACTTGTGATAGATGCTTAATCGTGCGACCATACAATAAGTCGTACACCACCCTTCGATTTGTGCAGATATCGGTTAGACTATAATAGAGCTGAAAATTTCTTTATCACTACAAAAAGACTTCTAAACGTAAAGGACTAATCGTGTTTCATTAGCGAATAAAAAATAGGTAGATATAGCAGCCATTAAGTGTATCGTTAAAGATGTTCGTAGTTTTAACGATTTTAAATAAGACGGTATGCAGCAATTGTTGAACATAGCCATTCCAAACTATACGGGTTCAAACTCTCGAAAAGTGAAAAGATCGTTGAATAGTATGTATGACGATGAGAAATTGAAGTTAAAACAAGAATTAGCTATGATTGAGTATATTTCATTAACCGCGGAGTTATACTATAACACTCAAAGACGTCATTATTTATGTATAACAGCGCATTACATAAAGCCAGATTTTAAATTGAAATCAACTGTATTAAGTTATAGGCAATTTTACGGCAGAAAATACTCTAAAAGATTGAATCAACATATCAATAAAGTATTGACAAAATATGATATCAAAATCTATTATCTATTACAACCGATAACAGAAGCGGTATCAAAGCCGCTTGCAAGGACGCTTTTGAAATTCGTTTGTATTGTTGTGCACATGTTCTTAATTTAGTTGTACAAAATTCACTTAGTTTATGGACCAAGAAAATAGACGATAATAGTGAAAACGAAGATGATAAAATGACAGAGTAAGCATCTGTTTCGAAATTTATACTGGTTTCCCAGAGGGTTGGGTTTAATTCACTATTTACACTCCAACACCGACAATTATGCTTAACTACCTAAAGGATTTCACGAGTTATCCGTTAACAATTGAAGAGAAATACATGAAACTGAGAGTAAACAAGCTCAATGAACAGAGCTATTGTTTCTTAATGTTCAACTTTCTAATCACATCAGTGAATATTCAACGATAGGTTTAACTCTGAAAGATTAGAGGAATTATTTCGATTGTAACGCACTTGAAACCTCAAATCCTTATTGTTCTTTACAATCTTCTGGAAAAATGAGGAATAATACACTTAAAATAATGAAATTTTCTAATTGTAAAATTTCTACATCTAAATTATTGCTATTTGCTTATATCTTTTCCTAACGAAGAGGAAGAATCCTCATCAGAAGGAGATGAAGATGGCAGCACATCATAAGATGATACGGACGATGAATGTGTCCAAGAGGCTAACGAAGATCAGTCAGAAGATAGTGAACCTGACACCGATGACGACGAGGAAGATATACAGAAATTGCTCATTCAGATCTTTTTGGTTGTCAGCTAAAGTTTTTGAGAAAAACGTGGTCAGAAATTTTTTGGAGCAGCTCAATAAAACTTGTCCCAACTTGCCAAAGTTATATCGAAAACGCTGGTGATGTGAGTGAAGTAAAGAAATTGATCTAATTTTCAACCGCATTTGTCAAATCTCGCGGAAAAAGATTTTTTTTCCTTCCGACGATCGATTTCGAAATTTCTGTAGATTTAATTAAATAAGTGAACAGCGTAGCCACAGTGCGATTCCTGCTCTGTTTGGTCCTAGTGCCTCCGGATTGTCATGTAGCTATTATCTCTAACCTGTAGAGTTAAGAGCAGAATAATATGTATTTTTAAGCCTTTTCGTAACTGCAAGATTTTCCAGTAAAGAAATGTTGTGGAAAGCTCGCTTAACTTGACGAAAATACATGTGGCTAGAGGCTAATAGAGCCGGATTTTTGATATTTTACTTTATAAATTAATGATGAGTGTCTCATTAACTGGCATAAAGATATTTTTATAACCACAAACCTAGGCCAAATATAAAGTATCGGTCTCTATTAGCCTTTAGCCACATGTATCAGCTTCAATTTTCAGATTTCTCGAGCTCTCTGCGATGTTTCGTTACCGAGAATTGTTGCAGCTACGAAATGGTGTTACGGTGAAAGTCGCTTTCGAGATATGGTGGCTCTAGTATCTGATGAATGCTTTAGGGCTTCCGGTAAAACTCTCATAACTCTTGATCAGAATATCATTCAGAGCTGGGAGATATCTCATTTTGATTACAAATATTTTCTCTATTTCCTAATGTTATTCAAAATATTTCTGGATTTGTTTTCTTATCGGAAAGTAAAATTTTCCGAGCCTTAAACGACTTTTGTTTGAATGTAAAAACGCTTTTTCATGACAAAACTACAAAAAGACCCCGCTTAAAAGAAATAATGCAAATCGCAAACAGCAAGCAGATAAAAGCCTGAGCAAATAAATAAACAACATGTTGGTCATCTCTCGTTAATGTCTAGTAAAAAACGGCGTAGAATTGTTAGGCTTATTTGTTCTTTTAGTTGTTAACCATCCTTTTAATTTCTTACCAAGCTTCGTCGAATAAAATTCATTTTTATAAAATGATGATGGTGAAATATAGAGTTTATATGACAAAACTTGTGGTAAATACGCTATAAAATACGAAATGATCAGCAGATAACGTTGCCAGTCGACCTTGAATTCTTGACATGTCAGAGTAAGTGACAGAATAAATTGTGGCAACATGAACAGTTGTGGAACCATAGTCACGATGGGTGCTAAAATCAATTCTTTATTCTCAATTAACAAATCAATATAAACACCAAAAATGGATTTTAATGGTTTAATGGTTGACTGATCACTTCGTCTAGTAGTAGCTGCAGCTCGTTTACGGGCAATCAGAATTATTATTGTGATGGTAG